ACCCGTATGTATGTAACTATCCATCTTCCAATCCATCAGGGCCTTCCCAAGGCCCTGAAGTGAGAGGAAAATATTCTCATGGCCCAAATGCAAACCCCCTCCTGTTGGTTCTCGGAAAAATTCCCACAGACACCAAGAATCCTGGTAACCGGTTGGGCATGTGCACAGCTCATTGTTGGCAATAAAACTGCAAAGGTAACATACACCCTGACTACTGCATGGCCAAGTCTACCCCATCCCCAAGCCTCTTGAAATCCCTTGGAAAATACACACACACACACACACACACACACACACACACACACACGACACACATACACAACACAAAATGGCAGCCTCACTAGGTGGCTACGGAGGGTCTGACCCACCTTCTCTCATTCTTCCCAGGGCTCTTCCGCCCCCCAGACAATATACACTACAAAGAGGATAGCTCGCTTTAGAAGGAAGGGGAAAACTGAGCCATTAATAACCAGGTGAGACCCTCACTTGTCAGCTACCATTGAAATAAGACACAGCAGGAGGAAGTGCACAAAAGCTACTTCCCAGCAGGCAGGCAGGATTAATAAACAAAGACCAGGGCAGGAGAACAGCAGCGAAATCTAGGTTGATGTTTTTCACTTCCTTGAGGATAGGGCCCCTGTTTATAAATAAACACAGTGCATGTAGGCCGGCTGGGGGACTTGAGGGAAAGGAAGGGGCCCAGAGGAGCACTGGCTCTTGGAATTATTAAGACCTCCAAGATGACGTTGGCCAATAATATTGTATCATAGACCGGGAGCAGGGCCCCAGCGCAGGTGCAAGTTGCCCTTAGGATTCTGCAGGCGGGTCAGACCAGCGCTTGGACTAGAACCTAACATCTTTCCTCTCACAATTCAACTGAAACAGTCACCCAGCTCCTACCCTGTACCACACCCAGTGCCAGGAAAGAAATCGTCAACTAACCTGAACCCTCCATTAACAGGATCATCTTTCTGAATTCCCCTTTTGAAAGCAGGCCCCAAAGAAAGGTAAGTTTATGTTTAAGAGTGTATGTTTTTTTCTTTTTTTTCCATTTGTGTTGCAACAGTTGAGGAACATCTTGAGGACAGCCCACATTCCTTCCAGGCTTCTCTACATGTCCATCCCTGACCCAAGGCACAGAGACTTCATGCTCGAGACAGTCCTAGGACTTAGCTAGATCTTCAGCTATCAACTCAAGGCTGTTTTAAACATCAGACTCTACTTTCTAAAAGCTATGACGGTTTTTAAAGATGTGCAAGGTGGAAAAATGACATTCTTCGGCATAGCTATTGGTTACTTATGAATTAGGACTCTCTTTTTCCCCAGGCAGTGAGTTGGAGTTTTGGTCTACTAACCCAGTAAGTGGTGGGAAGCTCTGGATCCATTTAGCCAACATCGTGGGCCTCAGCCAAAATTCTGTCCAGACACAATGAGGCAAAACCTGCTCCTTGGAATAAATGCTTCAAGATAGTGCATTCTCCCAAGAAGACACAGAGCGACCTCTGTGTGCCTGCTCCAGTGCACAGTTTGAAATGCTTTCACACCTAGGCCTTGAGTTGTTTGGAAAGAAAACAAAGTATTTTAAAGGAGGCGAGCAGACCAGTCCTAAATGAGCTCCCATGTTCCATGCAGATATCAACCAGGTTTCAACAAGGCCAACCTTGCTACTGCACTAATATTTCTTCCTTAATTCTTCCTAAGCTAAGCCAAGGCAGTTAGGAGGAAGACAGCTGGCAAGAGAGCAGCGTCTCAAATTGGTTCCCATTCCAAGAGCTTTGCCCAGTGGGCACAAGCCTGTCCCGATGCCCACTAACCTCTGTCCCCAGGGGATAACAGTGACCAGCTCCCCTGCTTATCCTAGGATCTCTGATCTCGCTCAACACAACCAACTTTACTGAGCGCACTTGAAGTGCCAGGTGCTTCAAAAAAGAGCCTTGGGAGGGGGCGAGAGGTGGGAGGGGGAAAAAACTATCACCATGGCCCTAAAAAACGCTCACAGCCCGTGGCAACACAGTCACCATCACAGCTGGCTGTCCCCAGACACCATCAGCTTGTCTTGACGCCTCTGGTTGGAAGGAAGACGCTCCCCCCACATCCTCAGAGCACAGTGGCAGGTCTTCCTTAAATGTTCTTTGATGGGACAGAGGCTTACGAAACCATGAAAAGATTGCTTATAGGAAAAGGGACCTGTGGACAAAATCATAGGATGCCACACTAGAGGTCTCGAAAGCTTGAAAGAGATCAGTTTAGGTCAAGGACAGGCAGAGGTGGAAAGGGCACTGACCCCCAAATCCAGAGCCTGTGTTCTTCACCAGCTCACCTCCTGGCCTTGGGCAAAGCACACTCTACAGTTTTACAGATGAGGGAAGGACTGACTCAGTGGTTTTTATTAGCAGTAAAACCCATGTACTTTCCAAATTATATTTTATATAGAACCCCAGTATATAAAACAAAGAAAAGGAATCAGGGCTGGGAACCCAGAGCCCGCCCACTCAGGCTGAGTGGCCTTCAGGGAAGCCAGTTGGAAAACTGCAGGAATAATGTCTGAAAGCCCCTTCCAGAGCCCTTACAACCTCTCTCGGAGGACGGGAGGGAACACTCATTGACGGAATGTCCTCTGTGGTACTTGGCAATTTAGAAATCATGTATCATCGAAATCTTTGCAACAGTAAAGTGAGATTAACTAGGGCTTGCGAACTAGGATCTCCCGTGATCTGAGCTGTGAACTGGGATCTGTTGGCAAGAGGCAGAACTGGGATTTGAATCAAGGGTTTTCTGACTCCAAACATGGCATTTCTACTCTTTGCTAAGAGGTTTGTGGAAATTTGGGCTGAATCGATAATTTCCTTGCATGGTAAATATAAACATATGTGCATATATGCCTAGGGAAACACAGCTTGACAAATATACTTCTCAAAATTTTCAGTAGCTATCTCTGTATGGGAACAGCGTAGATGATTTTCCATCTATGGATCTACATTTTCTAATTTTCCTTTAGTGAACAGGTATGATTTACGCAAAACAGGTGCTGCTTATTAAAATGGTTTGAACAACTCACAACTGACACACCCATGTTGGGTTTCTAAACAGCATTAGGGGCTGAAGGGATAGGTCCTATCTCTGACCTTTTGGAGTTGACAGTGGGAATAACAACCCCAAATCTCACAAATTCTCCCTTGGAGCACAGGGTCCTGGGCTGACCTGAGGGGCAGTTCTCACGGTCATTTAAGTTCTCTGAAATGCAATTCTTCACTTCTGGGGAGTGTGGTTGTTTTAGAAAGTAACTGCTAGTCCCTGAGACCCCACCCAAACATATGTTTCTCCCCTTCACCCCTCTTAGTTGTCTAGTATACAGGGGGTGGGTGCTAATAAAATTAAAGACGGTCACATGGACCCCAGACCAGAAACCCTGGCTGCTCAGTGTTCCAGCCCCAGCCCAGGAGGACCTATAGGGAGTGAGTCCTCCAGCCTGGCCAACTCAACTCTCTGGCCCACGCTGAGGCACCCCCACCCCCACCCCCCAGAAGCCACCTGCAAATCTGACAATCACGGCACTACTTCAGGAGAAAAAAAATACCACCCGGAAGGCAAGACAGGCCTTGATCAGGCATGAGGCGGGGCCAGCCGTGCCAGCCACTTCCCTGGGTTATTCATGCCACCTCTGCCCGCAGGAATCTTCCAAACATTTAACATGCTTCCTCTATGTACAGCACAAATCCCCAGCAGGTGGCAACAGCTGTGGAGAGGCCAGCAAGGAATGAATGACTTGGGGGCTGAGAGGGACATACACTGGCCTTGGGAAGAAAGCCCATAATGGTGGCCAGGAGACAATGCTGAGAATGGCTTCAGAAGGCTACCCTGACCGGCTTCTTTGAAAATCAGGCAAGAAGGGTAGGAGATGGGAGGTGCTCCCCAACATGGCACACAATCAACCAGAGTGAGGAGCCCCTCTTTCTCAGACAAAGGAAAATCTGGAATGGCACCACCAGCTCCCACACCCCAGAACAATTTCACCCCGGCTCCCCAAGCAGGTGGCAAATCTGTCCTGACTCAGGCAAGGATGGTTAGGAAAGGAGGGGAACTGGAATAGATGGCCATGTCTACCTCCAAAGGAGAACAAATCCACGAGGGAAGGAGCTCTTCAAAGGTCCACTCGGCTCTGGGGCTTGACAGAGCAAAACGCCCCCGCGCCCACCCGCAATGGCTTCACACAAGGCCTCACCCCAGATGACTCTGCGCTCTCCCGCAAGGCCTGGCAGGTGTCATCGCCACCGTCAGTGTGGCCGTCTGTCACTTGGAAATTTCCCGTGAATTCCCGGAGATGCCCGTCTCTATCTCTCCTTCAAACCCCCCGCCCAAGGAATCACACAAGGGTACGCAGGGCGGCTACCCCAAGATTCGGATCTGTCATCCTCCGTCCCACTTGCCTAGGCCGCTGTCAATTTGAGAACCCTAAAAAGGAGGAGTATTTTTCAACCCCCTTAGGAGCCCTGCCTCCAGCTCTCCGCCCTTCTCCGCGCCGATCCCTCCAGGCAGCGCCCCAGGCTCTTTTGGGCTCTGTCATTTTCACCTGACAAAAGCGTGGCGGCGGGGCGCGGCAACGGGCGACCCCAGGCCAACATTTCTTCCCAAGGAGAGGGACACGTGTCCCCGCGGCGCACTCACTCGGGGCCTCGGCCAAGCCCACCAAGCGGGGGGAACAAAGCGGCCGGGCGCGGCTCGACGCGGACCCCAGCGAAGCTCCGTGCGCCCCCAGCCCTCGCGGCCCCGCCCGCCGGGCCCCCACGCCCGGGCCGGGCCCCGCAGGGCAGCAGCCGCGTTCTGTGCAGCCCGCTCGCCCGCGACCTCGGCACCTACTGTACCTGCTAAATTTAGCGGCCGCCGGGTATTAATAGCCGGAACGACCGGGGCGGGCGCTGCAGGGGCACGCGCAGCCCGGGGGCCGGGGGCCGGAGAAGGAGGGGAAGGAAGGAAGGGACGCGGGGAAGAAAGCCACTTACACCACCAGCCTGGAGATGATCCACGCCACCATGGCGGGGGGCGGGCGGGCGCGGCTCGGCGGCGCGGCGCGTCTCGGATGCTGGCGGCTGCGGCGCTCCGGGCACGTCTGTCCGCGCACGGCCGCCGCCGCCAGACTGAACGCGCCCGCCGCCCTGCCCGGCGCTGGCGCGTCGGCGCAGCCGCGGCACGTTCCGGCGGCGGCGGCGGCTGCCCCAGCCCCCCGGGGCACGGCGGGCCCGCGGCGATTGGGCGGCGAGCCGTTCGGGCACCAGCGGGGCCCGCCCCGCCCCGCTTGCCCCGGGCCCCAGGCTGAATTCGGGAGGTTCCTCTGCGCGCCCCGGTGCCCCCGCCGCTCACAGGGGACCCTGAGGTGGTCCAGTTGGCAAGGCAGAGACCCGGGGGCCGCCCCACCATCTGTGCTCCAGTGGGGAAACTGAGGCCTGGATCTTGGGAACCTGTCTCCACCTGTTCTGATTGAGATACAGTCATCCCTCGCTCTGATACGGATACTGCGCTAGCCTAATAAGGGACTTCACTGTATCCAGATATGACCCCTCCAGTTGTCCCCCACAAGGCATTGTCTGCATAAGAAACAAATCTGGGCCTGTGTCTCCCCTAGTTAAAATTCTGAAGAGTCCCTACAAGATCTTGTCCCTGCCTGCAAACTCATTGCCCCCACCATGCCCCAGATACCCCTCTAGCCCTTTTCACTTCAGGAATTTTGGACCTGGAGAAGCGCTGTTCCCTCTCCCCTGTTCATTCACTCCATGCCTCAGATAAAGTTTATTGCCTAAGGAAAGCCCTTCCTAGATGGCTGCTCAGCATTTCTGTATCAAAGTGACTCAGGGGTACGATCTGGCTGGGAGGAAGCTAGAAGCTGGAATTGCCTAGTGCCGGTGCCCTGCGGAGCCATTTTAGAGCCTTAAGCAAAAGGGAAAATGTGCATCGTATGCCCGTTTTTTATGTGTTTTTTTAAATATCGCATCGAATGTGATTTATCTTGATTGCTGCATTTTGTGGCACTCCCTTACATTTTGCCACCGACGAGAGTGCCTCACTCTCCACACCCTAATCCTGGCCCTTATTATATAAGTGCTGCCTGGTACATTGTTTCCTTGTGCTCTTGAAAAACTTTTGTCCATTGCCCCTGGCCTTGGCTGCTGCCTTCCTCACCACCTCCATGGTGCCCTCTTAGAGCACTCTCCTCCTTTGCTGATGCTGTGTCATGTATAATTCAGTGTCAGATGCGAGAGGCACAGGAAAGAGCTAGCTCGAAGCCTTCTTTAAAGGAACCCTGCCCAAGACAGCTTCCTAGCACAGGCAAGGAGACCTCAGACCTCGGCGGAAAGAGGCTGGAAATGTACCTCCAGAGGTAGTAGAGAGAGAGTGGGTGTGATACAGGCTGAAGAAAGACCTTGCCCACAATAAAGGGACAGCAGACAGAACATCCTCTGGGATAAGGGGTCTCCAAAGAACCCATAGAATTCGTAATACAGTTGTTGTTGTTTTTAATGCTGTTTTGACCCAGTTTTGAGGCCCATCAGGGACCGGTCAGTCCCCCTTCTTAGGCGGCCAAATAAGTCCACACCCCACCACCTGCTTTATCAGGCTCTCACACAGGCCACCATACGCCTGGCTTATCACCCCAGGGCCGGGTACCAGATGGCCGGGGACAGCTCCTATGCCCTTGAGCCCACTGAAATTATTCAAATTAGCCAATCCTGAGCCTGTTTATCCTGCCTTGCTTTTTCCTTCCCGCAGAAACCACAATTTCCCTCTGTCTGTCTGCCTCGTAAGCCACCCCAGTGTTTACAGTGAGTGGCCCTACATGGCATGCTGTGTTCTGTCCAGGGAACCGTGAGCAAAACAAAACTGTAAAGGCTTCTGCCTCCTCTCTCCCGATCCATACCTTCCCCAAGGTAATATGGTGGAAACAGTACCCAACAAGAAAAGGCTTGGAATACCTACTAGGCAGATCAGGACAGTACCAAGCAAACAGGACCTTCTTCCATCCCCTCCCCCCAACCCCAGGTCAGAAAATGCTGTCCGTGATGCTGGGTGGGGGGGGAGTTGGGGGAGGGGGAAACTGTGGTTCAAAGAAAGCCTTTGGGTGGGAAATAAGAGGAGAAACTGGTCATGTGCTAGTTCTGTGCTGGAGATGCCCCCATTCCTATTAATGAAATTCTTGGGTTTGTCTATTGCACACAACTGGACATTTTCATGAATGAAATGAGACCGTTCATGGGATTAAAATATCTGGAAGTCTTTCTGTTATCTGAAGAGGGCCAGAAAACTAGTGGGACCAACCAGATTTCACTCAAGGGTTGTGGAAAGAACATGTTCAACAGTGCGAAGCATTGACAGGCACAGAAGGGGAAAGAACAGAGAGAAGAAAGTTGCTTTTCTATTTCATTCTATGTCTTTCAGGGTAACTGTTACACATATTACATCTCTCCATCACAGACCCCTTCCAGTTTGTCCTTGACCCTGGAAAACATCAGGCCAGGGAATGGATACAGCCTTCTAGACAATGCGACTCCTAAAGCCGTATCAGCTGGTTCACTTTAAGTTATTTTTCATGTGAACTGCTGTTCACATGGGTGCTTATGATCTGTTTCCATCCTGTAACCTTCCCCTTTCTTCTGGGAAGATCTCTCCATTTTGCATTGGGGAATGGTTCTACCCATACTCCAATCTCTTTTTTTGTTTGTTTGTTTAACTGAAGTATAGTTGATTTATAACGTTGTGTTAATTTTCCAATTTTTTTTTTTTTTTTTTTTGCAGTACGCGGGCCTCTCACTGTTGTGGCCTCTCCCGTTGAGGAGCACAGGCTCCGGACGCGCAGGCTCAGGGGCCATGGCTCACGGGCCCAGCCACTCTGCGGCATGTGGGATCTTCCCGGACCGGGACACGAACCCATGTCCACTGCATCGGCAGGTGGACTCTCAACCACTGTGCCACCAGGGAAGACCAATTTTCCAATATTTTAAGTGTCATTTTCTCACAGGTCCTTACTACCTCGATTGGCCATGGGTGAGCACTGGACATAAGCTAGACCAAAGTTCTCCCCTAGGATTTCTGAAGTTGAAAATAGGAAAAAGACACTTCCATTTTCAACCATTTATACGAAATTCCAGTCAAGACAAAACCTTTTGCTCTACAAATTCTAGCTGCTTGTACCTGAACTATCAATAGTAACAGAAAATACGTCAGTGTTGCCCAGATGCCAGGAATGGGGGAAGGGAATTGACTGCAAAAGGGCAAGAGGGAACTTTTGGATGATGAAAAATTCTATATCCTGATTGTGATGGTAATTACCAACCATATACATTTGTCAAAACTCACCAAATTTTACACTTGAAATTGGCGAATTTTATTTTATGCAATTATATCTCAGTAAAGCTAATCTTTAAAATTAGAAAAAAAAAGTTTATAATGTGCTATGTGAGGCTCAGTAGTTCTAGGAAGCCATGTTTTTTATTAGTCTTTTTCTTATTGATTGATTTAAATTTTTATATATTAAGAAAATGTCTTTCAATCCACATTAAAAATGTTGTTTTTATTTTTCCAGTTTGTCGTTTTTTTCCTTCAGACATTGTTCATGGTATTTTTTTCTTTTCAAAGTGTTTGGGGCTTCCCTGGTGGCTCAGTGGTTAAGAATCCGCCTGCCAATGCAGGGGACATGGGTTCAAGCCCTGGTCCAGGAAGATCCCACATGCCGTGGAGCAACTAAGCCCGTGCACCACAAATACTGAGCCTGTGCTCTAGAGTCACAACTACTGAAGCCATGTGCCACAACTACTGAAGCCCATGCATCTAGAGCCTGAGCTCTGCAACAAGAGAAGCGACCACAATGAGAAGCCCGCGCACCGCAACAAAGAGTAGCCCCTGCTCGACACAACTAAAGAAAGCCCTGTGCAGCAACGAAGACCTAATGCAGCCAAAAATAAATTTAAAAAAAATTTTGTAATTTAAAAATATTTTTAATTAAAAAGATATCCCCATGCTTTCTGCTGTTGTGGTTTCAATTTTAATTTCACACCTTTTATCTTACAGTCTATCTGGAATTTATTTTAGTGTATGAGTTAGCTGATTGTCCTGACACTATTCATTGAATAATCCACCATTTTCTCCCTTACTTCGAAAGACCATCTCTATGATATACTCTAATTGTTATTATATCAGGGTCTATTTCGGGACTCTGTTCTGTTCTGCCCATTCATTCATGAGTTACTACCAAACAATTTTAATTAATGTAGCTTTTTATAATATATTTTACTATTTGGTAGGGGTAGTCCCTCCACTTATTTCCTGAATTTTTCTTGTTATTCTTGCCATTTATACTTTCATAAGACTTTAGAGCCGTATTATTCATTTCAAGAACTTCTGGTTGTTATTTTTAATTGTTATGAGGTAAGATTTGTCAATTAATTTAGTGAGAATTTTTTTCATTACTATATCTAGCCTTCCTGTTTGAAAGCAAGACATCCTAGACACTTCCAATGCTTCATCTGGAAATGAACAAAAATATAAAGTGATCTGATTCATGGCTTGAGGAAAAACTCATTGTATTAGACATTTTGGACCATATAAATAATTTTTTTACTGTATACAATTTTTTGCCTTAAATATTGATATGAAAACTCAACATAAGGTACAGATAAACCAGAAGTGGTTTACCATGAAAAAAAAAAAAAACTGGGGTTTTAGGCCCTCTAATTTTTTCCCTTTTTTTTTTTTTTGCGGTATGCGGGCCTCTCACTGTTGTGGCCTCTCCCATTGTGGAACACAGGCTCTGGACACGCAGCATGTGGGATCCTCCCGGACCGGGGCACGAACCCGTGTCCCCTGCATCGGCAGGCGGACTCTCAACAACTGCGCCACCAGGGAAGCCCTAATTTTTTCCCTTTTCAGACCCTAGGCAGGACCCTAGCAATATAGTCACATGATTACATGTGCAAAAGTAAAATATTTTCATTAAGATCTGTTGGAGTGGCTAATTTTCCCACTCCATCTCTCAATCATGCTTCTCCTTGTACTGAGTATTATCCAAGTGGTCAAAAGCATTTTGGGAGCTGGCTAAAGTGAAATTGAATTGGGAATACATTTTGTTAGGGTTTGAAGATATAGA